AAGATGAAGGGGGGGGGGGGGGGGTAAATGCGACATTTTACCACCTACACGTTATACATTTATAATTGTTGTTTTACAATTATTTTAAAATAACATATTTGAATAAAACCAATTTGTTGTTCACTTTACAATTTTCCATTTTTTAACTCAAAAGATATAAGTTTCATTTAACAATCATGAAGTGTGTATTATCTATCAAAATAAACATATTAATAGATTCATAGAATTTGCATATAAAGAAGTGCCCATTGTAGAGTTCAATCATTAGAATATCTTGTTACACGAGCATTATATTAGTCTGCGTCCTGATCCTCATCATACGTATTCCTTACCCACGAACGTATAACTTTCACACCCATCACAGATGGTAAAATAATAAGTTTGTATTATGCGTTTTGATCTAAACGAATTATAAAACTGAATTTGTTAAAACAATATGCTGCGTTCATCCCTAATATTATAATGCTTTGTAAAGTTTTTTCTGGTTGAAATGTGAATGTAATTAATTCAGTTTGCAATTGCCATGGCAACGTATCCACAGGTTTTCATACAACTGTTACATCGATTGCAGAACCACGTTTCTCATTAATTTGTCTGGGTTGCGTAGCTCTAGTTCCGCGGACCACCCAAAGTAATACTTTATTATTTCTCTAGGTTTATCTGGATGCATGAAAATGTTTGAACAACATGTGTGCATTATACCATAGTATAACATTCAAAATATAAAAAAAAAAATTCCAGTCACAACAATTTCTAATTTGAATTAGTACCAGCATTATTTCATATCAACGGGATTTATGTTAAAATAAATTAAGACCAGTCTACACGTCACTACCAGTGAATATTACCTTACAATTTTTATTATATTCAGCCTGATTATGATTTAGAATGCTGAAACATTTAAATCAATATTTTATTGACATGTTATAATACCAGACACTCTTGGAAAAACTGTAAAACTATATATATTTATTTGTTATATATTCGAACTGTGCCGCTATTTTAGCGAAATGTTAATCTCTCAATGGTTTTATAGCCAGGTTACAAAACAATTCACCCATGTGTTCCTTGTACCAGTGGCGGCGGTACAGGGGGAGGGAAAGAAACAAAAGTTGGGTGGGCGTCGCCTCTCCAAAATGAAGCTTTGTGTCAGCAAAATTTGCCCCTCAAAATGAATAAAATAGCGCTTAAGAGGGGCTAGATTTACAAATTTTTAAGGGGGAGCATGCCCTCGACCCCCCTAGTAAGGTCGCAAAGTTTCGTGCCGCCGCCTCTCCTGTACTTAAGGTCATTTCCGCGGTTGAGTAGATTTGTGTGTGTTGAAACTATTGAGATGATATATCGAACATCTGACACCACTAATATCTTCCTAATTGTATATGATCGAAAGCAAATGATTAATTTCTCTAAGGCCACACTGATTTAATTTTATGGATGACATCCTCTGAAGACCCCAAAACTAATGCGAGAGGGCGAAAAAAAAAAATCGGCCCCCCAAAAAAATGCTGCTAAAACCACAGGACTACGGAGCTATTATTACGAATTTAACCACAGTGTATCAAAAAAACAACAAGTCTTTATTTGTAGGAGGCACATGCTGATGTACACATTTCGTACTGTATTACTGTCACAGGTATCATCACCTTTGATTTTGAAAAGACAATAGGGTAAGGCAGATGTTAGCTTTGCCAAAGGCATATACATCAACTCAATAATAAAGAAAAACTTACTGTGTTGTATTGAAAAAAACAATTAAAAATGAACAATAAGTTTGTCAACAGCAACCTGGAAATTAACTTCTTTGACATTCAAACTACAGCTTTTAGATAGACTAAGTGTAGACACAAATGCTCAAGAACTACTTCAACTCGGTAACAAATTATAAGAGGCTCGATATTGGAAAAAAACACCAACAGAGAGTCAACAAAAATTTGGATGCAGAAAATTATGTACATGAATCTTGATGAAAATGCGTCATATGTTCAAAATATTACTGAATGTGTGTGCAAGCAAATTATCCGAATCAGAAAATGAAAAAAAAAATAAGAAGGTACCTACCATTCGCAAAGGACGCCGGGAACCAGCGAAGTTTTGAGGTAATCCAAAACGAGTTTTACAACAAGTCGGCGCTTTGCGACAATATGAGTCGGCAAGTTCCGGACAGAAAACCGATCTGTTTTCTTTTGAGAACAGGCGAAAACTAATGCGCGCGCGGATGTCATCCATAAAATTAAATCGGTGTAGCCTAACTGTAAACCATAATTTAGTCGTAAACTCATCTCCTCTGAATTTTCTATTACTCCAACTAGTCAGTCCTTTTTAGAAACCTGTTGGGGGTAGAAACTGAATGGGTTTTTTTCTATTCAATGTCCTATTGTTAAAAATTTTCAGCACGCTTTGTGAATTTCATGGAAATTAAACCATAACATCCTGTACACAAATGCTATGCTATATCACTTTCAAACATCTATAGTTATTTCTGACATGTGTACATTTTGCCATAACTTTTTGTCAACTTTTGCAGTGCCCCCAGCCACTTTCAGCAAAACAGATTCTCTTAGGTGAGGAAAGTTTCTCGAACCTTTTGAAGCATTTAAATTTTTAAAAAGTGTATCTATACAAGCAAAATTAAAAAAGAATTACCATCCTTTGTTGCCATTAAAGCTGAAAGTAGTTATATAAGAAAGATGGAAAATATGATTTCTATAAGAAAAAAATACCACGTTACTGCTTCTAGAAAAATGGGCCAATTTTGCACCATAACGTAGCTTCCAACTCTACTTCTATGTTTTGGTAGTGAACCCATTAGTAAGTACGACCTCATTTGTTTTTGTTTTTTTGTTTTTGCAAGCTTTTGGGGGATTAATGTACTGAAAGTGTTTCAAGAAAAATAATCAAATTTCTTTATCTTTTGTACAGCAAAGCCTATAATGTATATGATTGTCTATACTTGAATACAAATAAGGCAGTTTATTTGTTTACTACACACTTATTGTTTTTTTCTAGTTTGTTTTCTATTTTCTTGTCTCTGTATTTGTAATAATAAAACTACGTTAAATATAATAAAAAAATATCACCCTAATACAGTGATTAGTTCATGCATGCAATTATAATTGCGCGATTTGCAGCATGCACTGAAAAGCTTTCCACAACGGCTGTTGCCATTAAACGACAATTGCGAGTGTGAAACGGTAAATAGTCTTTTGTCTGGGTTACAGTATCGAGTTGAATATCAATAATTCTAAAATAATCCTACTATCGTAAAACATTTTAATTCCTTGCACAAACATATGTCCGTGATCGTTAGGTGTATTTACATTTTCTTAAAAGTAAAATGAGGTATTACTATCAATTAATGCTATCATTAACATGCATCAGAACACTAATATAGTGTGTGCATTCAACCACGCATCGCTTTTTGTTCTAGTTTTGCTTCATGTGTGCGCTAAACATAACTAATTTGGAGGTTCGTAATGTGCAAAGACCGCAACAATAGTCTGTACCACGCAGCAGCCTTAATGTGAAATGTTTCATATTAGATTTTGTGAGTTATTTGTCAACACGTAGATCACAAAGTGTGATTTGGTGACTCATCATTTTTTAATTATCAACGAAGTATCATTTTTACAATTGCTGTTCACATGGCAACCGCATCCAGACCACTGCATCCTTACGTGAATCTTGATTTTCCTGTCACAACATGAAACAATTTTGTGAATGCACCGCTACAAATTACTTGTATGCAATAAGTAAGAAACATAAGTAATCGCATCACTACGAATTTGAAAAAAAAACGGAATCACCAGAAATTAAACGGATAAACTTGTGCCCTTACTTTTGAGACGGACTGAACTTGTTGAGTTGCTAAACAATCATTGGCAAGGTCAATTAAATAGGTCAAATAAAATCTCTTAAAATAAAAACGAGCTATGTTCATTAAATCATGTGTAAAATTACATTATTACTACTCTCGTTACTTATTCCTCTTTCTCATTCCAGATATAACTTGTAAACCGTACTTCACATTAATTTACTATGGCTCTAAATCACAAGAAAATGTTCATATTGATTATGTTGATTATAATTCCCCTTATGGCGTTCACCATGTACTTCACCGATAGTAAAAATATACAATGGTTAAAAGCAAATAATGAATCCAAGTTTCTAAATTCCCGAAACATGTAAGTAAACTATTAATCAATATTCATTGTTATTTTTGGGTGGTATATCATTGAGCGTATATATTCAAATGAGATATAAATATGACATACATTTTCCAAATAAGGAAAACGTTCGTGACATGATCGAATACGTCTGTGTGGAAGACTACCTAACACCTATTTGCGTACGTCGGGTCATCCAGAACTAATACGTTAAGATTTGAACGCAGTCACAAGCTAAGTTTTGCGAACGCGTATTAAAATGCAATATCGGAAAAACTATAGTGCTGTGAACAATGTGCCGGTAACAATGGCGTCATCTTATAGTACAATGCTGGGCAATGTTCACATCTGATAAATCTTCTACATCGGTTGACACAGTAACCATTCAGGCAGAACCACACCGTTTTTACGAATTCACTGCCTAAAATACCGTAGTGGGGTAGCAAGTTACAATATGGTAGCATGATGTAGAACAGTATAGGTCACACACATAGCATAACGATATATAATATGCTGCAATTCTTTTGTATATTTGTAAGTTATACGTACAACTTTAAATCTGCCTATATTCCCATTATAAGTGTATCAACAGCTGTGTTTTTCATATTTGCCAGCCTGTTTTGAGACCAGTAAGAACGAATTTCCAGTAAGAATGAATTTTTAAATAAAATAGCTAATTTTTGTTACTCAAATTTGGGTTGTGAACCTTTTACTTATATTTTTTAAATAGGTATTGTTGTCATTTTTGTTCTGATATTTATGTTTGATGTGATGTTCGAACTAACACGCCACTGATATTGGTATTGGCTATTGGTCAAACAAAATAACTAAACAAATACATTATTTATTACGCGTTTCAAGATGCACCCTTATACTCATGATTACATAGCTTTTTTAATAATGAATCAACACAAAAGTTTTAGTTATCAGTATACTGTCACCAACGTTAATCCCTCGTATTGCCGCAATTAGAGAAACTATCGCATCATACAAAAGACAATCCATTGAAAATTCTGAATCGCGAGTTATAAAAAAATCGATATTACGCCTGTAATGCGACAGATACGATACGTATACATTTTTCAGATGTTGATTTGTTGTTTTCTCACATTTCATCAGCAAATCTTTGGCATATAATTTCCAAACAATCATACTTTAAATCCTAAAATAACGTGTTTTTTTTATAGTTTATTTCGAGTGTTGGTTACACACTGTTAATATTTCAGGACTCAAAAACAAGTGCAAAACATTAAAATCACAATTTAAAACAAATCTATTTAGTTAATTAAATATTTAAAAAATTTTGATTTACAAAATTCTGTTGACATGTATACACAACGACAGAGCAATTCATCGTAACAACTACAGTGTGAGTGTTTCCGTGAAGTTCAGTAGTAGTGACGGGTAACATTAATATATCAGTTATTATCACAGTTTAACATATCGTCATTTTTAAAATGCACAGATTGCTTTTCTAAATGGTACAAATAATGGTACCAGTAATGGTACGGCCTCCTTTTCAAAATAATGATTGGTATTTATTTGCTCCAAAGTTTTTCTAATCATGGTCATATGTATGATTAAAACCAGATATTGTTTCGTTGTTCGCATATTTTGATTATGTTTAGTACTTTTGTTATTATGAAATGAATTACCGACATTAGCAATTGTGTATGTTAGTAATATGACCACGGAGAAATCAAACGTGGAGTTAAGACGAATGAAGACATGACCACGACGATGGGTCACATGACAAATAAGGATATAAAGGTTTTATCGTTCAATTTAACAATTCAGGTTCAGTTTTATTATGATTGTTACAATAATAAGTAACATGAAAAATACACTAATTTTTGCAGCTTTGTGTGCTTACTCCACACACTACGACGCTAGTATGCAGTCAGAGTTTCAGCATGATTTGGTGTTATAATTGTATTCAATTTATTCCAGAAACTTAACGCAAGTACTAGAAGAGAAGGTTACGGGTCCCACAATGAAAACCCGATCGATTGAAACTACAGCGTGAGTATATCTTAACACATACTGTATTTAGCTAAAAGGAGAGACAGTATATCAATTACTATTACGACTAAAGTATCGTCATTTTCTAAATGTATAAATTCTTCTCCAGATGTATAAATAATCAGAAGCAGGTTTCACCCAATCTGGGCGTGTATGATGATTGATTGACTGATTGATTGATTGATTGATTGATTGATTGATTGATTATTTATTTTCTTAATCTGCTATGTATACGCGGCCATTCTCTTCGATAGATAATTACAAATAGTGTTTTTGTTTTTCTACATATTAAATATTTTGTTATACTTAAGTGGTCATATAATTGATTATTGGATAAAAAAAATAGAAAATAGATTATTTAAAAAATAGTATATATCATTCTAATAAATAAAATAGACAAAGCAATGACATTAAGCTAAATCATTCTGTTACATTTTTTTTAAATAAATCACCGAAGAGATTCATGGGTTTTTTTAACATCTAATCCAGAAACATGACAAGAGTCAGTCCCACATTAATACCATGTACGAAGGGATATACTCACAGAGCTATTAAACGGCTTGTACCAACGTAAGTATACAATATCACACTTTTTTCTGCCTTTTATTGACTGTAACATCACTGATCAGTCGTCGATTTGTTAATCATGGTGTATAATTCCACGCCGTTGTTCAGAAACTCTTCAAATTAATTTAGTTGTTAGTGACATATACATACCGGCTACCTAATATTTACAACAATGCTTTCATTACTTTTCAGATTCGACCCCGATTTACCTTTATTCTTAAATCGTGATTTTAGAAAATGGAAAGATTTCGATAGATTAAAGGAAACGACAGAGCCTTACGGTTTTAAATATCACGGTATGATTGTTTTCGTGGTATATATTGTCATATTATTTCATAAGTAAAAACATGCGTCAATCGAACCTGGCACAGGTACACGATATCCATATACATGAAATTGTTTTGATATGCGAGTTGATCCATGGGTTTTACGGTTTTTATTATAGTATCATTCGTAGAAAAATTGATGCAGGCATTACCGGGTAATACACCGAATATTATGGGGTAAGCTAATTCTTTTGAGATTTATGTTTACGTAGCATACACTCATACAACCAAGGGGGCTACTGATGTATTAGCGTTTGTGGAATTCCCAGCTTACCACTAAAGCACAAGCAGTATAATAAAAATAATTTATTTTTTCTTCTTAACGAATGATAGGAATGATATGAAATGCAGACGTTGTGTCATAATAGCTAGCTCAGGTGGCAGCATCGGCAAACATTTGGGTTCTCTCATTGATCGCTATGACGTTGTTATACGGTGAGTGGATTTATATAAAATCTCCGTTGGTGTTTTTTATACATTCGACCATAGCGTGATGAATGAATGTTTTAATTTAATTTTTTTTTCTTATGATTACCAGAATGAACGACGCACCGGTGAGAAATTATGAAAGGGACGTTGGTTCAATTACAGCATTTAGAATGTTATACCCAGAGAGCGCAACAGCGAAGAGAATTGATATCAGCGATGCCTATATTGTGTTCTTACCATACAAATTAAGCGACTATCAGTGGCTGTACGACGTGATAAAAGGGGTTCGTATAACTACCATGATAGCTTTTATATCACGGTATAATCAGCAGTATTTAATGATGTTATAATATTTTTTATTTCACAGAAAAATCCATTAAAAAGAATTGGTGCGCATTTTTGGAAGTCGGTTCCTAAAATGTTTGATAAGAATGTTAACAAAATACGAATTCTCAATCCATATATTCACGAAGAAGCTAAAGTATACCATTTGAAGAATAATGTAAGTACGAGTATGAAAACTCACCAAAAGTCGTACTCCACTCTTTTTTGATTGATATTACTGCTTATCGAGGCATTATGTTGGAATAATGTTTTTTTTCTAATATGTATATAATGAAATTGCACTCAATGAATGAAGATGTGTATATACGATTCTAATTATCACCACCGGTCAAGGTTGAACAAACAATTCAGACATCATCATCATTATCATCATTCAAGGTGTCAGTTAATGGTAGGGTGTTTTCTCATATATCACTGATTTATATATAAACTCATATACCAAACTAGCTTATGTAGGACACTACGTGTAAATAGCTATTTGATAACGTTAGGGTAAAATTAGTGTTCCATACTTTCCGTAACTCAACTCACTTCTCTGTTTGTCTGTTTTCATTCCTCAGAATAGACCATCGTGTGGGATTGTGGGAATCGTTATGGCGCTGCACTACTGCGATCACGTGGACATAACGGGATTCAGTGCATATGATGACGATCCCAATATTCCCATCCATTACTACGATCCGGAATTGAAAAAACCTAGAAATACTGTTCATGATTGGACGTCTGAGCAGAGATACCTTAATAAACTGCTGAAATGTGGTGTCATTGAGAGAGATTTGACAACAACTGATAGGACAAACATCACTTACGATCCTGAATTATGTCAGAGTTGATAGACAAATATACTGGGGCGATAAATATGTTCTAAACGTGTATATTATGCGAGGTCTCAGAAACCCCAACGGTAACTTTGTGTAATTATTACGTGGTCCGACTGCGAGCTGTGGTGTGTTTGCCAGATGCAGACTAAATGTATAACTACACGACTAAAGAATACTGACTAATCGCTTTGGATATAGATAAACCAAGTGTCCTGTCAAGCGAACATCACAATTTGGCTTAGAGCACGTTAGAGTGGCGATCTACCCTGAAATACGCACGAATTTAGATTTAGAATATGTTAGTTGTATTTATTTATATATTTACAGAATTTACAGAAACGCATTTTTATGCATTTAAGTTGGTTACGCTTCCGAATCGTCACACCACTGTGGGAGACTGTTTTTGTTTATTTTTCCCTTCGGGTGGACAGCGTCAGTCTGTAAGTTTATGTTTATGTTCATACTTACTTTAAACTCGTTTTATGTTAGATCTTAATTATTGCAATCCTATTAATTGATATAATTAATCCCTGACACCTGGTCAGCGCAATGTATTGTTTTGGCGGCACCTTTCATGTGTGCCAAATATTGCGTGAGTTCTTTCAATTTCCCGACCTATGTATTTCCCCTACCACAACTACCGCCTACGTGTATTATAAAAAAAAAACTGAACTAATTGTTATACCAGTGCGCATTTAGCGGGGCCAGGCATTAATACAGATTAATGGCATAGAGAGCATGTGTGAAAAACAAAGCAATATAGCTGAAACTATGAGACGAAGTCGTAAGCTGACCATATGGATCTGTTAGCGGACTGCGATCAATTGACCGAATAGACTGGATACCGTTATTGTACATGGAGTTGGTCTGTATTGCGTACTGGGCCTCTGTCAGTCTATTCATGTTAGGTTTTTCATTTCATGTGTAAAGCTCAAATAAATAATTGGTATTTTCAAATAATTGTACAATAAATTGTGGCACACGTGTTTTTTTACACTGGATTAATACGCCATAATATTGATAGGTCGATTAATTTCCACTGCCTGAATTTACTGAAACTGAGACCTTGTGTTAAGCAGAGTTATATGTTTCTATAGAAAAGGCTTAAACTGCGTTTTTACATCATGTTAACGCTATTATGTTAGACAGTTAAATTAGATGCGTAAAATATTCTTTTTAATGGTTTATGCCTTTTATTCGACTATCACGTGACCACTGCAGCCTTTGGATATCACTCGCTAATTTACTTAAATTATACATTTATTATGCGAAAGCATGCATATAGTTGGCACAGCTTTCGGTTATGGATATTTGTTTGTGTTTTCAGTCATGTTACCAATCCCATTGCTTCACACGCAGGTGTTTGTGATTTTCTCTCACAACATCATGTACACTAATTCATATTGTCTGGGCTGTTTTATCAAAGAAATAATTTCCAGACCTTTCTAACTGTTATTTCAAAATCAGGCACATTGCAATGACATTTCAGTAGTTATAAAGTTAACTGCTGAAAACTAAGTTTGGTGTAGCTTTTAAAATTGAATCAATCGTCTCCACATTCGAACCATCAGCTGTAAACTACGGAAGTCGGTTTATATTGTATTGAGACACTCAACTTTAAACGGTATTACATACACAATATCCGGTACAATAAAAACAAGCTTTGGTTTGAATGATGATTGGTGCTAAACTACATCGTATTGGTAGACCCAAAGGCCCTTTCCCTTACTACTAACACCAGACCTGAATGTCTAACTACAATACATTCTAATCCCTCCCCCGTGACATGAGATCGAAGTGTAACATGCGACATCATGAGAGAAATAATCGGCGGGGAGTCACAATTTGAATAAAATACTAGGGTAATAATAACCTGTCGATTGAACCAATGCTGCCAGTGCAATTATTTTCACTTCAGACCGCTGAGATTTAGTTGATGGTGGCGACGGCTGTTCGTGTGCCGCACGTACATGGGGAATACATTGATTGCTCCTTCGCTAGATCGAGAAGCTGATTATTTGTGAGACTACATACCAGACGATAAAAACACAAAGTTTATTATGGAATTCCTGTAATTATAGGCGTATTTCCTGAAACCTGTGTTATAAGTAGTTACATTATTTGTACGAGAACATGTGTCAATACAGGGAAAACGTGTAATGGTACTATAACGTACAGATTTATTCGTTTGAACGCGCTGTATTCGATCACCTTAAATGTAAACGTGCAGGTAAACATGTGAAACTTCATACCCGAATCTATCAGTACTCTGTCTACCATATCGGCTATACAACTGTGAACAAATTTACAATCACCACGGCATACAATATAATG